AATGATGTTCATGGCGGGGGCAAACGGCCCACTTTCTGCCCTATTCGGCCCTCCCCGCTCGTGCGCGTGATCATGACGGCCTGCTTCACTGGAGGCAGTACCTGATTGGCTTAATGGTGTTCTCCGGGACATGCACGGAAATGCTTATGGCCGTCGGGTTTTCGGCCTCACTTCTTCTGCCGGTTGCAGTTTTTTTCGGGGCCGACACAAATTGGAATGACGATTTTGTCAAGTCATCCTTGACTTTTGTTTCCCCCCTTCTCTTTCTGGAGTGTGTGTCCGGTCATGTTCGCCAACACATAACCCCACAATGGACACACGATTCTGCCAGACTTCCCATAAGCTTTTCACTCCCACACCGCGGCGTGATCTGAGTCACTAGGCACAGAAGCTGCTTGGCCTTTTCTCTGTTTGTTTTGTCCCTTTTTTTTTTATTTTTAATGTATTTATTTTTTTTCCCCGGCCCTTCCCCTTGTCCCTTTGTGTGTGGAAGGGACGGAGATGGGACAGACTTTTGAGGTGTCGAATTTTGTGGGGGCAGCAGATACCGCGCACTGCCACTCGGGGGTAGGAACGGCCCCGAGAAACGGGGGTCTCCCTGGATCGAAGGTCCAGAGGCATCTTATTGAGAGCGGAAAGGGATGAGGTCCCGAGGGGGACATCGGCATTGGGGTCTGTCCAGTCAGCTTGCTGGAAAGGGACATGTGCAGGTCCCTCGACGGATGGCTCAGTGAGCACCCTCCGGATGTGCCAAACAGTCAATGGTTGGCGGTTCGGAGTCCTGTTTGCACTCTTATAGGGGCCTGCGTGCTTAGCAGTCCCCTTGCAGTCTACGAAGGTGACGTTCCGGGCGTGGGTTTTGGGACCTTGTACTCGAGTTACGGGGGACTCTCTGCACACGCTTTGGGTGGTTTCTAGTTTGTGAGGGACGGGCGAGTCGTTCTTTGGTGGTCGAGCGAACATTTTTGCGGCGCCATGCGGGTCCATGGTCGTCTCTCTCGGAGGGCATATTTCACAACAGCTCGGTCGTCGTTGGCAGCGGTCGCGGCTGTCGGGGCTTTCCTATGCCGTGGTGTCGGGTTGTGGATCGTTGCGTTCACCCTCGCTCATCGTCTTGCGATGATTGACGCCTGATCGCCGACGGAGGTCCAATTGGCGGTCGTTTGCAGGGTGTGGAGGCGGAGGTGCCCGTCACCGACTCTCAGCTTCAGCACCATCATCCCGTAGGTTACGGGGAGAGCTGTTGCGTCTCTATTGTGGTGTTGTCTTCGTGTCCGCACTCACAACGGCGCGTTCCGTTTGTGGTGAGGGGGTGTCACGACTTGGTGAGGACGCTCTGCGCTCTTCGCCATCCAAGCGGCGCCATTGAGAAGTGGCGCAGGTGGCCTCGGCCCTGCACCCGCTGCTTACCGTATGCGAGGGCGAAGACTTGTGGGATGCGTGATGCACCCTCCGACGACGTCGTGAGGTTGGGCCCGTCATCCGCCCGACTTGTTGGAATGCGCGCTTGTGCCCGTCGTGTCCCCCATGCTGTGGTCTCGGTATGCTGCACACTGTGACGGATCGCATTGCGTTGTGGTTCCGCTGCGGTTAAGGTTGTGGGCTTCGAAGGCTACTGTCCTCCGTCTCCTGCGTTTCGCCTGCGTCGAGTGCTGTTGGTGGTGCCCGCGGCAACCGGCGCATGTGGATCCAGGGGGGAGGGGTTGTGTTCCTTTTGCGCCCCCGTGCACAGGTGGAGGCTTTCCGTCCGTCCGGGCGTGTTGGAAGCGTGGTGCATTCGTTTCTCTCTTCACTCGCGTTTCTCGATGGAGAGATGAGGCGGTGCTCTTCGCTGTCGGTACGTTTTGGGCRGGCGGTGGCATCCGGCTGTGGGCCGAAGCTGTCGGTGGTTCCTTCGCGTGCGCTGTTGTTCGGATAGTGTGGTTATCTTGCAATCTCAGGGTGTGGTGTGGGCGGGTGCTGTTCGCAGCCAATCTTTTGAGCGGGTGCGGCGGGCTGTGTTGGATTGTGCGGTACCTTGCYGTTGGAGATGGCCTACGGAGGGAAGTTCACCGACAATTCAAACAGTCGGACTTCGCGGCGTCTCGGCAGCTCATTGCACGTTCCATGATTGTTCGACGTTCTTTTGGTAGGCTGTCCGGCGTGGCGTGCCTACGTGCGCCTCGACCATCACTCCTTGCGGCTGCTCGTCACACCCGCTACCTGGTTGATCCTGCCAATAGTCATATGCTTGTCTCAAAGACTAAGCCATGCACGTCTAAGTGTGAACACTTTGCACTGCGGGGTGTTACTAACTCAGGGGGTGTGGGAGTACCTACCCGCCCGCCCCAGAGGAGTGCGGCTACTGATGTGCAGCAGGGTGGGGAAGTCCCGAATGAGGATGTGCCGGCTGAAGGGCTGGGGATACTGCCTAGTGCGCATGAAGACCGGGAACGGCCATCCAATGGAGAAACGGCGGTGTTACAGCCAGTAGAAGGCGAGGGTCAACGACTAGGAGCCTCTGGTCAGCAAAGGGTAGTGGTTGCCGGACAACGACCATCTATGAATCGCCAGGGGGAGAATGCATTTGAGGACGTTGTCATGCAGGATGCGCCTCAGGCGCCAGTGGTAGAAATTATCAGCGAGGGCCAGCAGCGTGACCCTCACCCTCTTCAGGGTATCTTGGAACAACGACAGGGTGTTGAGGTGGATAGATCATTGGGTGTCCGCCGGGATGATGGGAATGCTCCGGATGGGCAGTCGAGCCTGTTGGTGCGACAGGAAGGGCATGAACAGCAGACTGGGGTTGTTCAGGAGGATATCCTACCGGGTATGCTTGGTGGATCGCATCCTCACGGAGTGGGCGTTTCACACTCTCGGCAAATTGTTCCCTCACAACGCCAATCTATGGAGGTGAGTCGGTTATTGGATGTCCAACGGGAGGAAGGGAACGCTCTGGACAGGCAAATGGACCTGCTGGTGCGACAGGACGGTCATGAGCAACAGGCTGGGGGTACTCATGAGGATGTCCCCCCGGACATGCGTGGCGGGCCGCATCCCCGCGGTGTGGGCGACTCACACTCTCAGCAGGTTGTTCGCTCACCGCGGCAGTCTACGCACCCATCGGCTGCATGTCTTGTTGTTACCTCAATGCCTGCAGTACCCATAGTCGGAGACACATTATTTCCGGGATCAGCTCAGCTCACGGCTCCGATTGCCTCCGCGCGACCCTCGCATGTGTCAGTGATTCATAATTCTACTTCGTTCTCTATGTCCTGGGTGAATATTGAAGCATGTCACTCACTCATGCTTCAAGGAATGGCTGGTGGGTGGTTGTTGGATGAAGTAGGTCCTTTCGCAAAGGCTCCTACAGGATGTTGGCTTGTAGAGGAGGCCGCTCCTCGTGAGGAAACGCGTATGCCGCAGACCTAGGACAGTGAGGTTGTGAAGGTAGATTGTCCTCTCCGTCAGACGGATAATGATCTTGGTGAGGGTGTGGACGCTACCAAACTGAGGAAGGGTCCGGGAGTTGGAAAGAGAATCCAGGAGGAATTTGGTGAAGGACCTTCAGTCATGTTGCGGTCGCGTTCTCGGAAGAGGGCTAGGGGAGGAAGCAATTCCGGAAGAAGGGGCCCCGGAGGTAAAGGGAAGCAGCAGTTGTCGCAGGGCTCGCCTAGTTCGGAAGAAGATGAGCCACCCAAGAAATTTAGGGAAGTGAACCAGAGGGGGGTCCTGGTGATCCCAGGGACGGATGGAGGTCGGTCAGCAGTAAGAGGCGGGAGTTGGGGCAGGTGTTCCCATCAAGGTATGAGTCGCCCTCCTTGTGTTCGGTCTGCAGGTCAACGTCCTGTTCCCCGGCGTTTGGAGCGAGTTATTGAGGTAAGTGATGAGGAAGGATCGAATGTGATACCCCCTCGGTCAGCATCGTGCCAAGAAATTAGGGCACCGTTGAGGATCTTGACTGGTGAACCCTCTCCTACGCCGGACTTACCTCATGGCCGTGTGAGGCTGTCGTCACCTGATCCTCAACAGCATGCACAGGATGAAGGCCAGGAAGAAGAGCCGGACCCCAGGACGGCTGGGAGGAATGTGGATCCTAGGGAGGGGAAATTTTCTAGTGAAAGGTTACATATGAAGCTGTTGGATGGGGTATTGGAGGAGATGCTCTCTAAAGAGCGTCTGTATCTCGTGCCACTGGTTTTTATGGAGGAGGCGTCTGTTCTGCAAATTCTGACTGTTTCGACTTCGGCAGGTGTACACAACGCACGCTTCCCAATGATAGCTTTGACGAATATGCCCACTCAGCAGCGGGCCTTATTGGCAGCACAGGAATGGTTGGCGGTTGCAGCTGAGGTGGCAATGGTTCCTGGCATCTCGGCTATTAGGTTGCTGGTCCCCACTAGCCATGGCTTTTCGGTGGGCTTGTACTGTTTCTTCATACGGGCCAAGTACGAGCGTCTGCAGGGTAGTGCCTTGCATGCCCCTAGTTTTGGATGGCGGAACCTCTCACTGGTTCTTGATTTTGCGGAAGCGGAGGAACATGCAGTGGTTATCGCTATGACAGCCCCTCTGCGGATTCTCAAGGATCTTGATAGGCATATGCCGGTGGCCAAGCGTTTCTCTAGCACCAGGTTTTGGTATTCAATCGAGGAGTGGTTGTATGGTCCTCAACGCCGCGTTCAACCCCCTCGGGGGTCTGCCTCCAGAACTCCCTCACAAGGGCAGTCCAGCCGCTCTAACACGCAGAATGGACCAGTGGTCCCGCGAAGGAGGTCGAGAGTCTCGGTGCGAATGTCGCGGGCGGATCGGTCCTGGGGGAATGGCCGGTGAGGGACATTCGGCTTACTTCCCGGATCTGTTGTATGAAGGTTTCTTAATGTCACCCCTGTCGCCTTGTTCAAGTAATTGTCTATGTTTAAAGTGGGTTCTCTTAATGTTAGAGGTCTAGGATATCGCTCTGTCAGGGCTAAGGCTAAGGAAGTGAGAAAGATTGTTAGGAAAGATAAATTACCTGTTATTTGCCTTCAGGAGACAACGATCTCAGAGTCTAGGATTAGGGGTGATTCGTTGTCTCTTCTTGAGTTTGGTTTTGGGGGACCCTTTCAATTGTGGGCTCCGGCAGTGGGCATGAGGGGGGGGGGTGCTATAATTTTCACAAGATTCTTCACGCGTAAAATTATGGACTTCTTTTGGGACACAATGGGAAGATGGGCGTGGGTGTTCATCGAAGAGGGAGGGAAGAAGCTGTTGGTGGTCAATGTTTATGCTCCAGTGGATGTCACTGAGCGTAAATGGTTTTGGAGAAATTTCACAGCATGTCTCCCGGAGACAGATGCCATGTTACTAATAGGTGATTTCAATACGGTTATTTGCCCAGGAAGAGATTCAGTTGTTCAAGGGGATCCTAAGCCAGATGCGGAAGCCTTGTGTGCTCTTATGGAAGATATGGCCATGGTAGATGCTTTTCGCAGAATCTCTCCGGATGACAGGTGTTTTACTTGGTTCGGGACCTCCCCTCTTCTACGAAGCAGACTCGATATGGCCTGGATTTCGAGTGACCTTCTGCCAAACCTCCAGAGCTTTGACCAGCATTTGGTGCCGATCTCGGATCACAAGTTCATTTGTGTCTCGTTGGCATTGCACCCCCGAGTACTTAAGAGACCCCCCCCCCCGATGTCGGTTCCAACGTGGTTGCTGTCGGATGCCCTTAACAGAGAGCTTGTTCAGCAGCACTGGGAATGCTGGCTTCGGTCGCGTCCTCAGCATATGCCTCTGCTGGAACATCTCCAAAATGGTGTTCGAACCTTGGCTGTGAACATGAAAAAGAGGGCTAAGATCTCAAGGCAAGCGCATGATCAGACGGGCCAGTACCTCCGCAGGATGGAGGCGTTAGGGGAAATCCCTCCGGCAGGAAGTGAGGACGACTGGTGGGCAGAATGGGTGTTATTGTATTCAGAGTGGGCTGGTTGGCAGGCCCGAGATGCGGAGCTGTGGGGCCTCAGTTCGAAGACCAAGTGGGTGGGGGATGCTGAGCGCATGCCCAAGGCCTTCTTTGCTCAAATGAAGAACATGTCCGGATCACCGTTGATTGTGGAAATGGGTCATCCCTTTGAACCACTCAAAGTAAGAGCAGACAATACTCCGGACATCCTTAAATACGTAGAACTGTTCTACAAGGACTTGTATCAGGAGGATGAGCGCTGGTCGAAGGAGGACATGGCTGTTGTGCCGGCTAAGGATGTGTGGGATAAATGTGTCACTCAGGTGTCACCAGAAGAGAGGGCTATTCTGGACGCTCCTATTACTCAAGAGGAGGTGGCAAGGGCTATGACAGGAATGCATAAAGGTAAGGCGCCAGGACCAGATGGTTTGCCGACCGAGTACTTGGTGGTTGCGTCGGGGGCCCTTATTCCGTACCTATGTGAGGCCTTCGACCGTCTGTTCTCAGGGGAGGAACCCCCCCCGGCTACCTTCGGTCAGGCTACGATTGTTCTCTTGTACAAAAAGGGGAGTGTTGGAGAGATCAGGAATTGGAGGCCTATCTCTCTCTTATCGGCGCCGTATAAATTGTATGCGAAGGTGTTGGCCAATAGGGTTGCCGCTGTGTTGCCTACCCTTGTTCATTCAACCCAAACTGGTTTTGTCCCCCGGAGACAGATACTTGTGAATGTTCTGCTGGTTCATCAAATCATGGAGAGGGCTCAAGACTCTCAGCCCCCATTGGCTACTCTGTTTTTGGATTTTGAAAAGGCCTATGATAGGGTCAGGTGGCCCTTCCTTCTGCAGGGAATGAGGAGTAGAGGGTTTGGGGAATGCTTCGTGAAGGCTGTTGAAAGAATACTGGGGATGGCAGTAGCTAAGGTACAAGTCAATGGTTTCTTATCCTCCCCTTTGGAGATCACACGTTCTGTGCGGCAAGGATGCCCTCTCTCCCCCGCTTTGTATGTTTTATATGTGGAGCACCTACATGAGATGATTCGAGCTAATGACCAGATCGTGGGCTTTGAGCTGCCTCGGGGGGCCCAGGTTAAGTCTAACGCATTTGCGGATGACACAACGACAGTGACCCAGGCGATGCACCAAAGTGTATTGGCCCTGCGAAATGAAGTTACTCTTTTTGAGAAATATGCGGGTGCACAAATTAATTGGGGGGGCAGTCTGTGGCAATGATCCCGGCGGTGGTTGACGTTGCGATGTTTGAAGGGATGAAGACTCAGTTGGTAGAGGATCAGTTTCTGTATCTTGGTATATTGGTCCCTGCGGCTCTCTCTACGGGTTTGCAGCTCGAAGATTTGTTGCATCATGCTGTGGTACGAATGGTGGCCTGGGCTAAGCGGACGTCTCACGGGATATTCGAGAAAGTGCTCATTGCTAATAACGCCGTGTCGGCAACGCTGTGGTATGTTGGCTCGGTCTCAGATCCTCCCAAAAAAGCATGGCGAGATTATAAACGAGCTTTGAGGAAATTCCTGTGGAAAGACGACCCCTGTGTGGCCCATCTTATCTACAGGGTGCGGTGGGAGAAGTTAGTACAACCTAGGTCGGTTGGAGGATTGGGGTTGCTGGACCCTCGTCTTCAAGTTTTCGCATTACAGATGCGTACGATCTTGTGGCTCCTTTTGGAAGATGATGTGGAGCCCTGGAAGCTGGTGGTCGAATACTTTTGAGGGGGGCACTGTGGTCGTTAGAGTGCACCCGACGGACGTTGAAACGGCCCTCCTACACCCTCAACTTCTTCAAGGACTTTTGAGGGGGGCACTGTGGTCGAATACTTTGGAAAAATGGAGGGAGGCGTCATTGCGGCAAACAACTCCGCGGACATGCGATCAAATTCTCGAGCAAAGTTTGTTTGGTAATCGGTTCATTTTGAGGTCCGGGGTTCCCTTCCCATGGCAGGGATGCCTGGGAGCATTTGGGACACAGTGGTTGTCCTGTGGTGTGTCCCGGATTGGGGATATCTGGGATGGACAGCGAGGTACGTGGAAGGAAGAAGGCGAGATTCTGCAACAACTGGAGTACCAACCGAATAAGCAGGGGAGACTTGAGAAGATTAAGCGTGCGGTACCACAGGAGTGGGTTGATTGCCTGGTAGCTAAAGATCGGATGCAGGGGGAATGGGTTACCCTGGAGGGACAGGATCGCCCAGTCATCTTTTTCCGGCTGAAACAAAAGTTGGGGTCTCAGTGGTATGAGGCAGAGGCTTGGGAGGACGTCGGCCCACAAAAGGTGTTGGGAGACGTCCTTATTCGGCATCCGGAACGGGATGGCATACTTCATGGGGAAAACATAAGGTCTGTCGTGGTTTTGAGGGACCAGACGGTTTCTAAGGGGGGAGGGTTCGGTCCTTTCAAATCGGCTTATAGACCACGACAACTTTCCTGGGATCCGTTGGTCTGGGAATGGGCGCCCAGGAACTTGCTCATGAAACGTTGCAGGATACACCAGGTGACTACAAAGACAATATACAGATCCTTGCTGGTTCCAACGGACATGGTGGACGAAATGCGGGAGAGGTGGAGGAAGAGGGGATGGTTGGACCATAAGGCTCTGCTCTGTTGGGATGATTCGACATGGTGGAAAGCGTGCAAGGTGCTTACCCTCCTCCTGAATCAGAAGCACGCAGGGGGCCTGTGGCTTTGTCTTCAGTTGGCTCAACCCACCTATCAGTGGTTGGCAGACAGGTGTTTGCACAAGGATAGGTCTTGTAAGTATTGTCATGATGAGGTGGAATCTCTGCCCCATATATGGCTGGGGTGTGCGCCCCAAGTGGCGTTCTGGGAATGGTGGGGTTCCTTGGGGAACGCGGCTCCCCTCTCCGGGCCCCGGGTAAGGGACTCCTCAATTTTGGTGGGGCTTCTTCTTTCGGGAAATGCGGTAGAGGTAGGTGAAGCCTACGCTGCTAATACAGTTCGTGCGGCGTTTTGGGCGGCGGCATGGGCCATGCAAGCCAGGTTGTTACGGGAGGGGGTGCCGCCTTCCTTCCCAACACTTCGGGCCTGGATGGTGAGGAATCTGAGGACGGCGATCTCTGCGGATGTATCCAGGAGACGGAACGACGGCTGGTCTTTTTTCGTGAAGGCTTGGAAGCCTTATCATAGGATAGTCACAGTAGGGGATCAGGTTGGGCAGTGGTCGTGGGAGCTCACATGGAAAGAGGAGGGGTAGTGTGTTGAGTACTACCCAGGGTAATGGTTTGTGGGATATGGCGGTTTTGAGGGTAATGGTAGTCGGGAGATAGATGAGGAGTGAGAGTAGGAAAGAGTGGATTGCTTTGAGAGAGGGAGGGCATGGTGGGGGTTAGGGTGGGTACCTGGGTAACGGGGTCTTAGAATGTGTTTTTTTTCTTTTTTAGGGGTGGAGGAGTTACTAAATATTTGCATGAAAAAGGATCAGTCGGAACCATCATGGATTACTGGAACAGAGTAGGCCAATGGGAGGAAAGGCTACGGAAAGATATAGAAGGTTCGGTGATGATAATTGGACAGGTTAGTATGGTAACTTGGGGGGTGTGAGGTATAGTAGGGGAGGTCCTAGCACATTTTTCCTTGTGTCGTGGGTGCGTTCATGACTGGGTGCGTTTCAGCCTCCCGGTGAAGGCACTAGGGATTCTAGGGAAATGTGAGTTTGCCCCCCCTCTCCACTGTCGTTGCCCCTCAGTCCCCTGTGGGGGCCTGGGGGGATACCCCCTTTCCTTTGATTTCTTCTGTTTCATCTTCTTTTCTGTCTTTGTCTTTCTGCTTGCCGGTGATTAGCAACCGGACTGTTGCCCCCCAGAATAGATGGGGCTGCGCGTGTGTTGGTTGAAAAAAAAAAGAAAAAAAAAAAGAAACTGCGAATGGCTCATTAAATCAGTTACCATTTATTTGGTGGTCTCCTTACCACTCGGATAACCGCGGTAATTCTAGAGCTAATACGTGCAGCATATCCTGACTTCTGGAAGGGATGTATTTATTGGATAAAAGGCTGATCCAGGCTTGCCCGTTGTTGTGGCGAATCATGATGACTTGTCGAATCGCATGGCCTTTGAGCCCGCGATATTCCATTCAAATTTCTGCCCTATCAACTTTCGATGGTAGGATAGAGGCCTACCATGGTGGTAACGGGTGACGGAGAATTAGGGTTCAATTCCGGAGAGGGAGCCTGAGAGATGGCTACCACATCCAAGGAAGGCAGCAAACGCGTAAATTACCCAATCCTRACATAGGGAGGTAGTGACAATAAATAACAATACTGGGCTCTTTCGAGTCCGGTAATTAGAATGAGAACAGTTATAAACTCCTTGAACGAGGATCCATTGGAGGGCAAGTCTGGTGCCAGCAGCCGCCGTAATTCCAGCTCCAATAGCGTATATTTAAGTTGTTGCGGTTAAAAAGTTCGTAGTTGGATTTTGGGTGGGAGGGGTTGGTCCGCTTTTGCGGGCGTGTACCGGCCCTTTTGCCTTTCTTGCCGGGTATGTGTTCCTTGCCTTTATTGGCTGGGATCCAGAGCCGGCGCTGTTACTTTGAAAAAATTAAAGTGTTCAAAGCAGGCCTGTGCTCTGAACATATTAGCATGGAATAACGTGATAGGACTCTGGTCCTATTTCGTTGGTCTTCGGGATTGGAGTAATGATTAATAGAGACGGTTGGGGGCATTCGTATTCCATTSTCAGAGGTGAAATTCTTGGATTTATGGATGACGAACTTCTGCGAAAGCATTTGCCAAGGACGTTCTCATTAATCAAGAACGAAAGTTGGGGGATCGAAGACGATCAGATACCGTCCTAGTCTCAACCATAAACGATGCCGACTAGGGATTGGCGGATGTCTATTGGATGGCTCTGCCAGCACCTTGTGAGAAATCAAAGTTTACGGGTTCCGGGGGGAGTATGGTCGCAAGGCTGAACTACGCACAAAACTTAAAGCGCAACTTTTCCTTTCATACCTTTTCCTTCACTAGACCCTACTGTATCTGGCCCCCAATACAGTTATCGGGGCCCTACTAGCGCAGAGCTGAGACGAGAAGGCCTAGTACAGCTGACATGCAAGGGGTCGGGCCAGCCTAGGCCATAAACCGCCGTCCAAACTCGAAGCTCGAACCGTTGGCCTCCCCGCGAGGTGACGGGTTGAAAAGAGAGGCACCACGTCAGATATCAGCTGACGGAGATATAATAATAATAATAGTAATAATAATAAATAACAACTTTTAACGACGAACGACTATGGACCATTGAGTTTTCTCGATTAGCAGCCTTCAGTTCACATAGACTAGGCTCTCAACTGTTCATCTATTTTTCCTTTTCGCATTTCCGCTTTTACTTTCATTCTCTTAGCCTTGTCTTTTTATAACAGTGACCATTGGTCTGTGTACCTGACCCATAACTCAGTAGAAAAGACTGCGCCAGTCTTCTCACCTCCGCGTCCCAGGGCGAACCCGGCGGCTACCACGGCCACAGGCCGGTTGTGCTCTGCTGTACAGCAGGGCGTCGAGCCTGCGTGGACCAATGGAAAGCCCTGTGGCGCACCCTTTTTGCTAAGGGCATGTAGCGACAGGACCGGTCCACACCAGGGTACAACCCGGGCTCTAAGGATCGTGGAGATGACTACTGGTTGCAATACCAGAGCAAGAGACCGGTACCAGACAGGGACTTGGTACACATAGGAGGGCCGGGACACCGCGCCCTCCGACATAATACCAAACCCCCACCCAGCGTCCCCGCTGGGTCGAAACGCATGATAAACCGATACAAAAACAGTCTAGACTACCGGTAGACTCACTCGCTCTCATTGTCATTTGCGATGACGCTCGCATAATAGTTTTGCGCTGTCCTGGTTTTTCTGCACGTCCGCTCAACCCGCGCTTTTCTTCTTAACCTCTTTCGATCTGCACTGCTTTCTTCTCCCCTTTCCCTTTTGTTGTTCGTCACTCTCTTTTCTGTTTCCATTCCACCATAGCACACCTTCCTTCCCTTCTTAGTAGTGTGTCCGTCTTTCATCATTGCACCATGCCTGAAGCACGTCGTGGACAGGGTAGAGGAAGAGGAGGTAGGACAGGGAAGGCTAAAGAGGAGCCGCCAGTTAGGGCACGACGCTCTTATAGTTCAGAAGAGGAGGAGGAAGAAGAACCAAGAGGCTACGTGCATCTGAGGCCCTACGCGCGTTATCCTTCATCAGGGTGGTACGAAAAAAATCCATCCCCAGACAGGATCGAATACCTCCGAAAAACAATTGATGCGCGCTATAGCACACCCAGTGCTTCTTCTCCCCCTTGTATCCCAGAGTTCCTTCCACCCCTGCCGTAAGCAAGGCTATAGTGCCCGCTCCGTCTCCCTCTGTTCCTTGTACTGTCTCATCCCCCCATCATCCCAATCACTGTGTTTTCTTCAACATCTTCTTTCTTCTCTTCCTTTTCCAGCTTGAACTCATAGCGGTTTTTTATGTCCTATATAAGCACGACTTCTTCTCGGCCTTTTGAATCTGATTTTTGGCTCACAAAATTACCAATCTAGTCCACTTTATAGCGTCCCAGGCCTGAGAGTTTGGCTTCCTTGGGCCAGGGACGTCGGTTCCTCGTGAACCAGGCCGCTTGCCGGCCACCAAATAAACTTAAGAAGGATTATGTTTCCATTATGATTCTGGCTTCTTATCATTATGAGTTATGTCCTCACCTTGAACTGTACAATAAGGAAAGTTATCTTGACTTCCACCTCAACTGAAAAGATCAACACATCATTCGTCTGATATCACTACTTGAGTCACTTGTTCAGTCTGCCATGCTGAAGATAGAGCATACCAAACCCTCTTTTCTGTTATCTGATCTCAGTGAGACGCCTTCTCAGCTTCTCAAGCACCTGATGGGGATACCAAACCCTTGTTTTCTTTCTCTGGTCTGAGTGAGGCATCTCCTCAACTTCTCAGATAAAAGGGAGGGGATACCAAACTCTTTTCATTTTCTCTAGTCTGGGAACTTCAAATAAATATTTGTATACCTGTAAAATCAGTTAGTCCAACAGACAATAACCATGCCCCAGCAAGCAGATCCCCTAATAAACAACAATCATGCAATCAACAGAATAAAATAAAATCCCAAGAATAAATAATAAAATAATAAAATAATAAATGTTACACAACAGTCCTTCACACCCAGAATCGGTTGATTGCCTTGGTTTTAGCCTCCCACTGGCTAGGGGTGACAGACGTCCCATCAGTCTGACATCCCTCATTCGGCCCGCCTTACGCCAGGACTAGTCAGACCATTTGTCTTGACAGCCCCTTTGACCTGCCTCCAGGTCAGGACCTACCATACCCACTACTCGAGTATGGCAGCCCTTGGGCACTCTCGCTAGGACACCCAGACTATATCGGGTCTGGTCACCCTATGAAAGTAGACGTCGCGTCAGTCATACTGTCCACGATCCGGATTTGACCTCGGCGGTCGGAGACCGGCTCACCCACCAGCTTCTGGCCTAGGGTTCTGGCTACCCAGCCCAGATTTTCGAGTGTAGGACTAGGTCTAACTACAACTCAAGGCTCTGGCTAACCTTACTGGATTGCATCCTCTTACTGCGGTAGGGTTCCAGATGACCCCTTCCAACCTTACGGGCCAGGCCCCCGGAGCCTTAGCCTCAGTCAGACTACGGAATTTGACACTCGCGTCGGGGACCTGCTGACCCCACCAGATTGCAACCTACTGCGGTAAGGCTCTGGCTGACCCCGACAATCAACAACATCTGAGGTTCGTGAAGATAACAGCAAGCACAGACAGTCAGACAAGCATACGATTCCCTACAAGCAGACTGCCCATGCCCCCATAACAAGACAACCATTTCTCAAGAGACGTCCCTTCAGTCTCAAGAGACACTGAACAATAACATGCTAGCCAACACTAAGAGTTTGCAAGAGACCTCCCTTCAGCCTCAAGTAACGAACTTAGTGCTAGCCCCAGAGAGGTCCCTTCCCTCAACTGGGATTTCTTTTCCAAGAGACGTCCCGCCAGTCTCAAGGAAATACCGAAACACTGATCTCAGAGAGGTCCCTTTCCTCATCTGGGCGTAGACTGACCCTTAGCCAAGAAGCACGAAGTCCCTCTTCTGACCATTCTCAGTCAAGTAAAACTGAACTTCTTTATACCTGCCTTCGTCTGAATCTCTCGGATGGACAACTCAGTCAGAGACGTGAAGTCCTTCTGCTGATAACTTTCAAGCAGACAGAACTGAACTTCTTTATGCCCATAATGCTTTCTCTGTCCTAAGAATAATACTGCTTATATCATTTGATGTGCCCCAACTATGAGTTTCTCAGATTTTGACACTGTATCAATGCTCCCAGAACTGTACACACAAGTACTCCCCATTCTTAGGACTTGACACTCATGGAACGACTGCAGCGCTGCATCAAAGATACAGTCTCATTAACTTAGTTGCTTGTTGAAATCGATAATGAAATGACTTGCTGAAAACGATAATATTGTAACAGAGATGCTGAAACTGAAGTACTGAAACTGAAATACTGAAATTTGAAATGTTGAATTGACTACGCAAGAATGATCATTTTCTGCTGATAATTGAGCCTCACTGTCTCAGTGTCTTACCGTACTCTTTCTCAGTCCTCTATGACCGTTCTCTTACTTGAATGGCTGACTTCTCTTCCCTCTCTTTGGAGTCACTATAGGGATCAAGTCAGGGTCTCTGAAGATGAACTTACGAAGTCTTAACCCTGACACCATGTCATGAACCCTGAATCCATCCATCTCTGAAATCTCATAAACTTTGCCCTCTGCTTCCCCTGTGATTCTGTAGGGGCCAAGCCATCTGGGCTCCAACCTTTTAGTCCATTGCGTCTCAAAGGAACTGTCAAACAGAAGGACAACATCTCCAATCTTCAATTTCTCTTTGCTTATATATATTTTCTTTTTCCATATTTCTTGATCCGATAGTCTGCTGGATGCCATCCTCTCTGCTGCATCCATCATTGCCTGATCAACTTCAGATATCTGCCTCATTCTGATCTGAAGGAGTTATGAAATAGAATAATCCCTGTCACTTTCTTGACTTGACCATGTCTTGACAATACTCTCAATTGGTAACATAGCATAACGACCATACCATAGAGTAAATGGTGCATAGCCTGTAATCCTCTTGATTGTGATGCTATCAGCATATACAGCAACTCTTAATACTTTTGGCCTGTTACCGAGATTTCCTTCACACCACTTGGCCAATGAATCTTTCAAGGTTCTGTGACCTCTTTCTACAGGTGCATTCGCTTGAGGATGGTAAGTAGTCACATACCTAATTCTGACACCCAATCTGAGCGTAATTCTTCTAACAACCTCATTTCTGAATTCTGATTCTCTGTCTCAGATTGTCTGAGACAAATTATCTGATAAAAGGATACCTGAGATAGACTTCCTCTATCCAATCAGCCACTTGCTCGGCTGTCTTTCTTTTCAGAGTTTTTACCTCAACGTATCCAAAGAAATTATCTCTCATGTTTAGTATGTATCTCATCTCACCCTTGCCTGGTGGCATAGTAATGAGATCCAAATGCACTCTACTACCTGACTCTACCAGGATTGTAGGGAATAGGGGTTCAATCATTCTTGTAGTAGACCTCTTCTGACATAAAACACATGATTTGCAGTATCTGAAAATCATGTCTCTCATTCCAGTCCAGAAGTAGAGTTTGACAGTCTTGGAGTAGGTTGCCTCAGAAGCCCTGTGAGCACCGACAACCCCCTCATGTAGAGCAGCGATTATCTCTAACTGCCTCTCTTTACCACAAACCACTCTTAGTGGAGGTAGGTCTCCCTTACCATCCACAAAGAGATGTCCTCTCTTTAGTCTGAATTTATTTCTTGAATTTTTGCAGTAATATTCTT